CAATGTGTGAAGCCCATTTCTGGTGTTCCCCCGCCGTGATGTAGCTGGACTATTGCTAAAAGCGGCGTAAAACCAAACTCAGTCAGTCTAACCTTGAACTTCATTATACCAACCTGCCCACTGCATACTATTTAATACCTTGAGAATTGCATCATAAATGCAACTTTCTACTGTGAATTATATGAACAATGCACACAAACCTATTTGTATTTGTTCTCTATTTGGTATCTAATACACTGACCCCGACTTTCCAGATCTGACCAACTGCCCAACGGGCGAGGGGTTCATGTACTTCCCGGTTGACGAAATGTGCGTTAAGTATGAACACAGGGAAGTCACCAGGCAATTTGCAAGCATGTACTGTCACAAGGCCGGGGGCTTCCTGCTCGACATAAAGACGGACAAGATGTTCCAGGCCATAAAAGGCATTTATTCTAAATTTGGTACGTTGTGTTAACACTGTAATATACAGGGACACTTTTAGAAGTTGCACTGGACGAAAATATTAACCGTACTTACCAAATTGTGAATTTTATGTAATCTCGGTCAAAGATCACCTGTATATGTTGTAGAAAAAGACAAACGTTATATATACTCTATAAAGGAAACTATAGATAGGTAACATTTGAATTTTAGGAAAATATTTGACACAAACCAATCTATGCTGAATCCCAACATGTGGGGGAATGGTTGCCGACGACAAAACGTTTGAAAAAGAAACGTTGAACAAAAACGTAGCGTTACACTCACGTCTGTAGTAAATTGCTAAAACGCACCCTAAAACCTTTACAAGGACGGGCATTGCAGCACGGGGTGGCAAGGCACTTCAGCGTGTCCAGACAGACCATCTCAAACCTATGGACCTGATACAACAATACTGGGAGTGTTAATGACAGACCCAGGGCAGGTCGACCTGGAATTATCACCCCCGCCAAGGATCGCTACATCCGGTTGAGACATCTTCGTTCAAACACCACGGCCGCATCATCCATAACAAAGCAGATGCCCTGACTGCGCCGAATCTCCGAGCAGACAGTGGGCATTTGGCTATGGAAAGCCAGACTTTTTGCCAGAAGACCTGTTCAACGTCACGTCGTTCCCTTCATCAACGTGAACGGTTGATCTTGGAGCATGACAATGCTCGACCTCACGTTTGACAGGACTTCCTCCAGCAAAACAATGTTCAGGTGTTACCTTGGTCTCGAGTGAGTGAGGTTTTACGACGCTTTTAGCAATATTCCAGCAATATCACGGCGGGGAAACCAGAAATGGGCTGTCCCACATTGAACACCTGTGGGATGCTCTTGATCGATGCTTGCGCCAGCGTAATCCGCCACCTCAGGCACTACAAGAACTGTACACAGCAATTCAGCAAGAGTATCAAAACATTCCTCAAGACAGCATTCGGCATCTCCTTTCTTTTATTGGTCACCGCTGCCACGCTTTTATCGATGCTCATGGTGGTCACACCAGATACTGACATTTTACTCTGACCAAGTGGCTTTCAGAGCACACTGTGGTTTCTGGATAATCATGTTTTGGAAATTTGTAAAGTGATGATTTTACTGTAATTGAGCAATAATGTCATGTTATATGCACTCATCATGAATAGTTGTTTTTTAAGAGTATATATACATAGAGATGCATAGGTGCTTGGATAGGATGGATAGGATAATGATATCATCCCAAGATATTGTTAAATGTCAACATTTATGCAAACGCCTTCATTTATAATTTCCATTTTTTTTTAAACCCACCAATTTAAGCTCTTTCATCGGTTTTGTTTCAAGTTAGGTCTAACGGTATACATTTGGTTGTAAACCGAAATCGAGAAAATTATGGTGTGATATACCGCGAAGCTAGTAGTTTGTATGAGTATACTTCATGCAAATGTCAACTTATATTTTCCAGGAGGCACAGCGTTTATTGGTGGTTTCAAATATAGATATTCAGGCACGTTTCAAATCTGGCTCTGGAGTGACTGTGACCCAGTCAAGAATTGGACAGCCACGAACCCTCGCACCTGTATGGCATTGCACCTGAGTGACATGATTTGGGACGGGAGAAACTGCAAAAAGAATTCCACCAGCATCTGTGGATTTGACGTACAACATGTGTCAGCCTCTGGTACAATAACGAAAAGTAGGAAGATACATGGAACAAGATGTAGAAAATCGCTTCCTGGTATGTATCATCTCAAGTTATACTCAGGCATATTCATACACAAAATCGTTTACTGTTGTCATCTTTGATCACTGTTGTCATCTTTGAATTAACAAATTATAAGCTAACGGCTGTCATCGCTAACCTGCACAGCAAGAGTTAATGCTGCTTTATCAAATCGGTCCAGGAAACAAAATTGGAATGTTTAGAATGTTGATCAGTCGAAATGGTATACAAGACCATGTAGTATTACATGCATGCCAAAGCCATGACGGCATATCTCGCTGCTGTGAGTATGTGAAGAATTGCTGCGGAAGTGTTAATTATAGCGTTTATAATTATGTGAAACGCATAATGTGTATTGGCCAAATGAGCAGCATCAGAACTGTATCCCATCGGTTGTGCAAAAAGGAATCTGAATCAAGTACACCAGTGGTTATTAGTAGCAGTGTGCGGTGGGGTAGCCTAGTGGTTAAAGCGTTCGCTCGTGGCGCCGAAGACCTGTGTTCGACTCCTCACATGAGTACAATGTGTGAAGCCCATTTCTGGTGTCCCCCCGCCGTGATATTGCTGGAATATTGCTAAAAGCGGCGTAAAACCATACTCACTATTATTAGAAGTAACAAGTCAAACTATCGGAATGAAGTGATGAACAAAACTCAGAAATGGTGACCACCTTATTCCCGTTTGGTCGTAGCAGTTGGCTAGCATAATAATATCTACAGTTCTTTGGTACATTCCCAAAACATTGTGAAAAGTGAAAGATCTGTTCGCAAAAGATTATTTAAGGGTATATCAATAAATGTGCAGGAAATGCGTGAATCCCATTTATTTGTACATGAATCCGATATAATGCTACTTTATGATAAATGTGTTCGCTTATGTTTACAGATATCATTGCCAAACTACGAATTACAACAGGCACCAGTATGTTGACCAGTAAAGAAACGCCCCATCATGACACCGTTACAGTCGCATCTCATCATACCGGAAGAGGGGCGTCAACAGGCATGACATCAGCCAGCACTGCCAGGGAGGCTGCTACAACTTCTGACACATCAACTTTGAAGCTAGCCACGTCCATTCCTCCGACAAATAGCACCACTGACACCGTTTTGTGGACAACAGAAACAAAGACAACCAACGCAAACGTTACAAATAAAGTGTCAACCCAACGAAAAACAAAGAATATCCCAAGCACGTCAACAACCGCAAGGACATTGACAACCACGAAAATCCATCCAGACGACTCTCCTAAACCAGTGATATCGACAGTCCAGCATGACAGTCATCATAGGAACTCTGGACAACCAAGAACACTGGACATGACAGTACTGATGAAAGAGTTCCTCAACTCAAGCAATAATTCTCCAACAGTACTGCAGGAAAGGGAAAAGATCCTGTGTATGATCAAGAAGAGGTCGTGGAGGTGTAACTGCTTCTGTAGAAACAACCGCCTTCAGAATATGTCCAAGGAAGCTGTACAGGAACACAGAGCGAGGGTAAAGAAGGAGTTGGGAGTGGCCAAATCATCTCTCAGAAAGACTTTGTCAAAGAAATCATGTGCCACTGATAATCGTCCATCGGCTAATGCTGTTGGCTGTTTCGGATTCATGTTTCTCATTTTCCCAATTGCCGTAATTATCCTGTCGGACATCAACACTTTGTTGATCAAACACAGCACTAACTCTCGGAAGAAGAAACAGGCGGGTTGTTACATTAACTTGTCCAGGAATTCTTTGTCTAGTTGTAACAGTGGAACCTAAGGAATCCAGAACATTTCGAAATATACAATTTGGGCAATAGGGCTAAGTGCTTGAGGTTGAGATAGGAGTAGGGGGTCATCAGAATAAGGGGCAAAAGGGGCCTGAGAAGGGTGGGAAGGTTTGTTATCAGTCCACCAGTGTCCTTGCCTTCTTTTCAAAGAATGAGCCAAGGCTGGGTAAGAGGGAAAGGTTAACGTTTGAGGTAGGATTGAGTGGGAGGGGGTTCCGTGGATAATTATACTGTTCACTAATGGATTTATACAAATGTTAAATATAATAAAGACTATTAGCAAAATGGACTATACGTTTTCAGAACGCTGTATACGTTCTCCTTTCTGGGGAAATATGTTTTGTCTACCGTCCCGAGAGTTCAGTGCGGAACTGATGCCACACGTTTACACTTGTCTACTTGTCCTTTAAGTCGAGCAATACTCCTGCAGTTAGAACGTCGTGCGTCTACATGTTACAAGTTCTGACCTAAAATCGACCTCGCTCTCTAAGAAGATTTCAAAGAGCGTCACAAAACCCGTTCTCAAAAGTTGTAAGATCAGGGTTATGAGAACAACACTGAAGGCCTCCGCGCAACTTTTAGACAACTTTATGATACTCGTATCCAAATTTGTCGCATCACTGACAAAAATGATATTCTCATGTTATTCCCTATTTCCTCTTGAACCTTATCTTCCCGTGTGTTTTATTTTGAGCGAACTATTACCTTGTCGGGTGCCATCGGTGGGCGGGGACATTTTCACCTTTTCGCGAACACCAGTCCTGATATCATCACTATTTGATAGTACCCGTGAAGATCCGGGTTAGAACTGGTCTTCAGCAACCCGGCGCCATGCTTGTCCGAGACGACTAACGGGTGGTCAGTCTTGCTGACTTGGTTGACACATCTGACCGATCGTCGCTCATGCTGATGATTACTGGATTGTCTGGTCCAGACTGGTTACAGGTGCCATTTAACTGGACTATTGCTGAGGGTGCCGTTAAACAGCAAACAAACGAACAAACAATAAACTATTCCAAAGTGAGTCAGCTTATAATAAACACGGAATCATACACAGTCTATACTTGAAGAGATATCTTAATGATTATTGTAAATGATCATTATTGCAACTGTGAAAGCAGTCATAAGTTTTTAAGAAACTGTCAGTGATTTGGAGCGCACATAAATCTAAAGTTTATTTGTACACTTGATCAAATATCCTATCTGAAATATCTATCTGTCTGATAACTGTATGTCTGGTTACAACACTGATGATTTTACCACCATAATACGAAGAGATCCAATGTATATCCACATATGTTAAATACATTTTAGAGGATGAAGGCAGATATAGTATTACACTGAAGGCATGTCATGTTTTAGGATCACTACTGAAGTAGCCTATGATTTGCCTGTAGACATTAACACAATCGTTCTATATGCTATGCGGGAGGTAGGTCCTTAATAAGCTATTTAAAACCTTGTTACAACGAATTAGCATTAACAAGCATGGAGTGAGCTTTAATGAATGGTAGATGGACGACACCATCTAAATGAATGATTAAAATACGTAGTGATTTCTCGCTATTTAAAAAGGAACTTGGGAAAGGTTATACGATGTTTTGTTGATGCTATATAAAGGGTCTATCACATCGTTTTCAAGTTCAATTTTACACTTTCTTTTGCACGACAGTCTTTTACTTTTTGACGTCCCCACCTTGTGGATTATGCTCTTGTAATGCAACACACACTACAGTTTGAACATAATATCAGCCTCAAGTCACGCTGTTTCAAGCAATGCTCTCAGTAGTTTTCTTTGGCTGTTTCAAAATGGGTTTCCCACCGAATCCAGGATTAACAGTACCTGTTTTCTGATCCTTTTCATAGGTCAGGAAACGCTGGAGATCCGACTGAGCAAGTGGATTTCTCTCAAACCGTTCGTTTATGTCAGTGTCCACGAAGAAGAATCCGACATCCCCCGCGTCATCTTCGTCATGGACACCATCTGCACCATCAACATGAGTGTTGTCCAAGGTCACTTCCGACGAATCCACATTTGCTTCGCCTTCCTTGACCCCATCTCCTCCCTCTGCCATCTTTAACTGAATCTCCACAAAGCATGAGCTCCTCCTACGCTGCGCCGGTTTCCTTTGATGATCGGGCATTCGTTTTTTCGGATATTTGAACACCGCTTGTTTAGATGAAACAACACCGCCTGGCGCTCTCGTGTTTAAAATATTCATCGACGTCTCCAGTTCAGTCGGATTCCAATCCTGCTGGGTTAACAATTTTTTTCTCCTCGCTATTGCCCGACCGGCATGCTTTTGTCTGTAAGGAGCAAAAGAGCCCCCGTTGTCATCAACGACCTTTTTCTTTTTGGATTCATGGCTCCTACCTTTGGTCTTCTGTGTTATGGAAACGCCATTGTTGTCTTGTTGTGGCTTGTCAACATTCTGCGTTGCTATTGCAGTTGGTGTTTCTATTGTTGTTGATGTTGCTGTCAGTGACGTCCCCGTCATGTCAACTGAAGATGATGTTCGTGATGTTCCTATTTCTGATCTGGACCTGTCTTCTCCTACGTTCAGAGGAGCAACTTTGTTTTTCCCGAAGACAGATGAGGATGTGATTCTGACATTACAAGTACAGAAGGGCCCACTGCTGCTTTCAGATTCTGATGGAGGCATCCTGCGTCGGCAATCCATACAATAGTACAGTCGAAACACCTTAATCCACTGCATCACTGAAATACAAAGCAACAATCTACATATCTCGCGATCACTCTGTGTCATCAATGACTTTACAATGATCCATTCATATGATACATTCCTATTAAGCCTCTTACGTTCAATGGAATCTTTTTCGGCTGATAACCAAGACAGTTTTTTACTGGCCTACAAAGCTTTGGTATTAATAGAGACATTAAATCCAAGATTTGAACCTACGATCAGAGGTGTGAGATACGTATATGGACAGCGATGGCTAAACCTCTCAATAAAGTGATAGTCTGTTCAGAGTGTGTGAAGTATAGCTTACAAAGGTACACAGCTTCCCGTTGCGTGGACGAGTCCAGGCCCTTTGTCCCCATGATCACTATGTCCTGTATTGTATCGAGAATCTCATCTTGGTAATTTATCTTTCTGTGAATCTGGACAAAACATCAGAAATTGTGATGATATTAAATAGCAGAAAGAAGTTATTGTATATGAAACAACAGAGTAGCAAACACATATTTCTGGTTATGAGCCAGAAATGTCCTGGTAAAGCGTTTTCCTTTATGTTGTTAAGAATTGCTTTTGTCTATCTGGTACATGATAAAAAACACAATGATATGTCAGACAGGGCTTCGTTTGCCAGAGATGTCTTAATGACGGGTGCTGGTTGCGCTGATTGGTTGCAAAATATTTAATGCCGGACAAAACAAATTGTTAATAACTCACATTATATTATATATACATGTTCTCGATTAAAACATCTTCCAACACCTGTTTGATAATGAAAACAAATCCAGTTCCAACTCACCCGATAAGCAGATGAACCGATCACGCCACACGGCAGACAAGGGAGGCAACCCAGTATGTTATTCCAATCAAACACGTGATTAAAGATAACACCACTCGTGACACAGAATCTTCCTCCAACGCTCAAGAACTCTCTTCTCAAGACTGTCTTTCCCCACTGTTGTAACGATGGGCCGAGGTCAAGCTGAAAGCGGGAAAATAACATACCGTTATTATTTACCGGTTTCCTGGGGGTAGATATGATCATGAGATAATTGAAATGACATACATTCACGATATTTCATTCAGACGGTTTTGTATATGTTCAGCATATTTGAACGGTAACGGGTTGTTCCACTCCAAACACGTTCACACCAGCACAGTTTCACCCCAGGCTGTTTCACCCGGTTTGTTTCACCCCATACAGTTTCACCTCGTTTCGAGGTTGTTTCACTCCAGCAAATAATAATTATTATTATTATCAACTTTAAAACTGTTTTATAATTGTATTTATCTATGTATAGTGTCCAAACAACATATTCAGATTTGTTTGAATAATTGTATCAGTTCATGCATATTGGCTGTGTTGGATCGGGTGAAGTCTTTCAGTGACGATAGCAAGTAGCTGCCTTGGACAGGAATGAACATGTTGTCTGTGTACTGTGTCCACAGGTTAAGAAGCTTCTCGTGGATCTTCTTGTATGTCTGCCTATTTATTAGGGGTGAAACAACCCCTAATATGGGATGAATTGACCTAGTTTGGATTGAAACAACCTGAGTGAATAGCCCCGGAACCATTTGAACATTATATTGTTCCCCATGCCATTTGTTTCCGAAGTCAGCATGGGATCAATAACATAAACGAACAACAAGTATTTCACGCGATTTTGGTCTTAGACAAAGACCACTTTTGTGAAACCCACGAGTACGAGTATTGTGATACCAAACCTGGGATTCGTACACACACAGTCATTGATTTGTGAAACACAGAAGGGAGGTAACTCGTACAGCCGTTTGGTAACCTGTGCTGTGTGAGAGATACAACAAAGCAACATGATAATTATGCAATCAGATATCCCAGGGACGAGATCGTATAGAAAAGGTCATTTGTCTCATAGCTGATGAATTCCTCAGAAACTGTTAAACACCCCTTGCGATGTATTTACAATATAGGTAGGTGCAAAAGATACATTTTTATCGCGATGGTTTGATTATATCAAATGTGGGAGAGAATAGGTTGTTTCTTCCACAATTCAATCAGGAAGCGAATCTAACGCGTCTGATGATCGATCCACATCTACTGTCGACATGGTAGTTGTTAACACTGACATGTTAATTATAAATGAGACCTTACCTGGTCATATACTGAACATCATTGAAAACGCACCAGTCTAAAATTGTCCATATTTTCATCAAGATGGATTTCAGCATGACAATGATCAATGAATATAACTAACATGAAGTCGAAGGGCATGTCCAGTTGAAAAAATGCTTTAGAAACAAATTCCTGTCCACAGTATGACTCTTAATTCCAAAATGCATCAACATGCAGCCACGCTATGAAAAAAGCGCGAATTTCATTCTGTAATCATACTGACTGTGACATTAAAAGCAGGTGTATGAGAACCGATTCTCATTGCTTCACTAACGATTGTGAAACGAGGACAGAGATGCCGAGGTTAACACCTCACGAAAGAGAACGTGCACTAGGCATGATTCAGGTTGGCACCAGTTGCAGGATTGCTCGACATCTTTGACTTGGCCACTCCACCATCGTTAGGCTTCATATACGACATCAGTAGACAGGCAGCACCCGTGATCTTCAATGACCTTGGCAACAACGTGTTACGACGCTCCATCAGGATCGCCATATTGACCTTGTCCATATAAGTGATTGAACACTGCCGACTGCTAGGATTGCTGCACTAGTTCAAGGTTGATGTGGGGGTCATCAGCGCTGACTCCATGCGACGCCGTCTACACGCTACAGGGCTCCATGCTCGACATCCTTACTTTGGACCAATTCTGACTGACAGACACCGTAATGAGCGTATACAATGGGCTAGCAGGCATTTTCAGTTAAGGTTCCAACAATGGCATGGTGTGGTAGTCACTGACGAGTCACGTCTTCATCTACGTAATGCTGACGGCCGATTAAGTGTTTGGCGTAGACGTGGTGAACGTTATGCTGATGAGTGTGTGGTTCAGACAGACCTTTGGGTGGTGGGAGTGTCATTGTCTGGGGTAGAATAAATTACAATCACAGGACGGCCTTCATGTCTGTCAAGGGAGAGTTAATGGCCATTATTACCGTGAGCAGATAATTCAGAATCACATCGTATCTGTCTTCAATCACCACCAAGATGTCCATACTGTTCAACAGGACAACGAACGGGCACACACAACAAGACTTTCCATGCAGTATCTGGCCCAGCATAACATCCAGGTTATTCATTGGCCAGCACAGTCGCCAGATGTATCCCCCATGGAGCACTTGTGGGACGAAATTTGTCAAAGTCTTTCGCGGCGACAACAGATGCGAAAAATCCGGGAACTTGAGGCTGCACTACTGCAGAAGTGGAATGCCATCCTCAAGAACTCTATTCGGACGCTTATTGACTCAATGAGGAGACGTTGAACTGCATGTGTCAATGCAAATGGCGGTCACACGCGATATTGACTTTTCGATTTGACCCTACGTGTGTTTGATCCTTTCTGAATGTGGAACATTTCAATGAATGAGCGTCTTTTCTTTGTTGTTGGTTTTGTCAGTCGTCCATCTGTTATTATCCACTCAAAAATATCAATTCCTTACACGTGCTTTTAATAATCTGAACTTTTATAAGTGGTGCGTTTTCAATGATGTTCAGAATATATACAGTATGCCGTATCATACATTGGTTTGGTTGGCTTGTTGTTTTACGCCACGCTCAGCAATATTCCAGCTATATGGCGGTGGTCTGTAAATAATAGAGTCTGGACAAGACAACCCAGCGATCACTTGCATGATCATCGATCTACGTAACTGGGATACGATGACGTGTCAACCAAGTCAGCAAACACGATCACCCGATCCCGTTGGTCGCCTCTTACGACAGGCATTTGGTTTCTGAAGACGGTTCCCGTATCGTACAATGCCGTCTGGCGAAGTTCCATTAACCAGTACAATCTTGTTAGATTGTAACCTAACATCCCTCATCATCCATTCATGTATTTTTCACCACTAGTTTGCATTTTTAAATGGAATCTCTTTTCGCACATCAACTGAGGTAGCTGATAATTCTCTGGCGTTAACGCTGACAGTGTATTTTTACCTCAAAAGAAAACTTTTTGCCATTCCCGAATCCTTCTTTTACACCAGTTAGTTTGGCAGTGAAGGTCTTCATGCAGTTTGCCTCGGGGCTGATAAAGATCACCATTGGAACTGGAAACAAAACAGGAACTCAGTTAGCCTTAGGTTTAGAGTAATGAATATGACGACAATCACGAGTGAATATCTAAACTCCACAGAGGAGGTATGTGTCCCCAAGGTCTAATAGGATCTTTAGGTTCCCGTTGGGATTCAGATATTGAGCCTGTCTGTGGTCGGGATTTGACTTTGCAAGCCGAGCTGATCGTGACTCCATCTTGTAGTCACTGGTTTGTCGTGATCGAGTATTCATGACACAATTAACATTCACTCCTCTCACCACTGTGCTGTTTACAGTCATAGGACGTGCCGTTTACCTACTTAAGATCAAATGTTGGTTCTGTGCTCATTGATTAACTCAAAGGTTACGATTACTAGTACCACCCTCACAAATAAACCAGTTAAATTAACTTATATTTCTGTGGTACGCACTTTCTGAGTTGTCTCCCATAACGTTGCGGATAGTGAGAGTGACACACAGCAGGGATGGGAAGGTGGATAGACGACTGGTCACTGTGTCCAGCTCCTCGTCCGTTGAAACCTGGATAACCCTGCAACACCACACCTGTCTTCAGTGATGACGTTGTCATCGTTGTCAGACAATGACAACATACCCAGCCATCTCGATGAGAAGTGAAAGTTTGACACAACGAAATATGGTCTGTGTCTGTATCTAATAGTAATGTAATTTGTAACTTCTTAGAGAGGTGTTTCATCAGTTGAAATTTGTTCCTGATCCTTTTCACTTTGTGAATATAATGTGTTTGAACTATTATTTGAACTGAGCCTCATTAAATTCCTAAAACACTTTGTTACTGAGAATCTACGTATGAGGGCATAATCTGTATATATTTCGACGTAATCGTGACGTCACCTAGATCAGTAGATCAACATGTCCTTTTGAAGACAGAACCAGCGTTTTCCATGATAGTGAGTGAGTGTGAATGGTTTTACTCCCATGTTAGCAATAGTAAAGCAATATAACCACAAGGGATATCAGAAATGGATTCACACGTTGTACCAACTTGGGTAATCGAACCCGGGCACTGGAGAGCGAACGCTTCCACCACCACCTGGCTACGTCACCACCCTCTACCCTCACTAGGACACCTACCATGACTGTGTGAGGTCCTCCATATATCCTCGGTCCGACGTCGTCAACGATGTAGCACTCATGAGGATGTTGATGTCGCCGTCGTACACGATTTCTCCATCAACAGTCCGGAATTGAGGATGTACAATCTCTGGGAATATTTGGAACACTCTCCAAGGCACGACGGCGATGCCTGCAGTCGGCACAGCCAGGAAGGTGTCGGTGACGCAGGGGTTGAAGTCTTCAGGCAGCTGACTCTCCGCCTCCAACACTATGTCGGACATGGATGAAGCTGCTCGAGCAGGGGATGCCATCTTGTCTTGTGGTACTCAGTACTGTGGAGTACAATCAGATACTGAGTTCTCCAATTCATTCAGATACTCAAAACTACACTACAAAAAGTACTTGGTATTGAAATCTGTGTCTGGTGCATAGACAGCGTTTACGTCAATGGTTCGATTCCGTACCAAAATACGTCATTGGGTTATTTTTTGTGGCGCAGCCTAGCGATGCGCATTGGTCTCTTCAAGTATACTGTCTTTGAATAACGTGCCCATGATGACCTGGGACATAGTACTTCATTGGGCAGAGGTATTTCAGAACTATAACACTGGCATCAGATTGGACAAGTACAGGAAACAATAACAACAACAACAACAACAATAACAACATACACGTGTTCACACACACACGTTGGTGCACGTCGCGCTTTATAAGTGTAATAACATTTAACACGGAGATACGCCCCACTGCACCTCTCTTCACCTTCACTGCAATAACATCAAATTGTACATATTGTATGACTTCTCATCACTTGCTTGACAGCTACATTAGAATCTATGTTGAAACGTCGCCTTTCAGAGAATAAAAGAAGAAAGTATATCCATATAAAATGTCTTCATTCTTCTGTACATATTGTAGTTTGTAAATGCCAACACCAGAAATTAATGCGTCTGGATTCCTTTGGATGTATGAGGGGAATTTTGGTGGAATCACTGTGATCGCAGTCATCAGACCAGGAGTACCTGGTGTAAACAGGTGTATAATGCGTACGTACGCCTTACGTACGTACGTACGGTAGGCAACCGGTAGTATCCGATACTCAGGCCTTTGATGGAGAAAACGTGATAGGAATTGTAGGTGTACATATATGCTATTACATTATATTACTGTAACACATGGTCAATGCCTCAATGTGTAATGTACCTTTAACACGGTTCAGTTTGGTCAGATGAAATAATCGCTTCCGTCGTACTATTCTTTCTCGGTCAGCTGCATTTGTGAAGAACGAATGCGCATTGAAGGGTGGTTGTATTATTTGTGACAGTAGGTCACATGTCAAGTATACATAATTCTGATGTACCAAGTTATCTCAGTGGGCCTCATCCCCTGGGGCTTGTTGTGGTGTGAAAAGGATTGTTTAACAATATCGCACCTGGGGACACCAGACATTGGCTTCACACATTTTTACCTATGTGATGAATATAACCTGGGTCTTCGGAGAGACAAGCCGTATCTTTAAGCACAAGCTTAAGGCTATCCCACAAACTGGGTGGAAGTGAAAAAAAATCGGAGTCCGGAGCAAAAATAAGACAGCTGGGTTTAAACAGTATTTTCTTAAATTGCGTAGAAGTAGAAAATAGTTATATCAAGGGCAGGGCAAATTGTATGTCGGTCACGTAGAACAAGGCGCTATTTTATTTACGCCATTTAACAATAATGTAATTGATTTAAACAATGACGAGGAACTGGGCTACTACAGAATCAACCTTGCGTTACATACTGTGATTATTAGAGTCATAGTGGATAAACGATAAACTTCGATATTAATTCTTCTATATATCACGTGATGACACCTTGTCGTAAGAGGCGACAAACGGGATCGGGTGGTCAGGCTCGCTGACTTGGTTGACACATGTCACCGTATCCCAATTGGCTAGATCGATACTCATGATGTTAATCACTGGGTTGTCTGGTCAGGACTCGACTATTTACGGACCGCCGCCATATAGCTGGAATAATGCTGCGTGTACCGTTAAACTAAACTCATTCACTCGCTCATATTTACCCCATGGAAATGGTAAACCTGTTATAGGCCACAGGCTGCTGTGTTATAATCTGCATGTAACAACACCTCTGTATATTGATCACATGTTATTTAGTCTTGAAATCAGATAACGAGCTCGCAAACAGATCTTACAATACCTTGCAGTGGTCCATAAGTAACCAAATGCTAGATTCTATGTAATAGATGGATTCTTTTCTTATGTAAAGACCTGTCACACATCGCGTGTAAAAACAGCCTGCAGGACTGTACGCTCCAATGAGTATATGATCTGTTGTAAAGGGCTACGTCTTAGCAGACAATACAGTATCAGTCCCGCGTTGTACAACTGAAGCAGTTACTTCCTGGTCCACAGAGAAAGGTCACGAACAATGAGCATGGGCCATGCCGTTGTCATGGCACCATGTAAACAAATCCCAGCTGTAGGTTTCAAAACCTGTCTTGTCTTCTGTGACTTGAAACATGCTGGCAATGTACGAGTTGTCAGCTGACATTTGAAATATGACCACCGTATTAAACTTAAAAGGTTTAAGTTTCTTTCTCGTCTATTTGTATCCATGCCAATACAAATAAACTAAAATAGAGAGTTTCGTACAAGAAATGCGCTTGAACGCTTACGATCTATTGCTTACTGTAAACACAAGAAGGCAATTTTCTTTTTACACATTAAGTGCAACCAACCCAAACTACGTTTATACCGCTGTGGCTTTGTGTCATGAATATAATGTTCGCAACAAAGCTTTGTATGACTGTTAAATACGATAGGCGGTGTATCAATACCTGCCTCGACAAAGGCTGTTGCACATAAATACTGACACACCTGCTATCTACTGCGATCTTTAATTTAGGGAGACACGAACAAAAGTCCACATGACGCCACTACCGGCATAGATGTGTTATTCCTAGAACTGGAGCAGTATTTCTGTGAACCACTGAATTACATGGAAAGGTTTACAGACAATCAACTTTAGACATACGAAAGAATAAGGAAGTCAAATTTATTTTGTAACGTAACGAACCCAGCAACCGTTGATATGGCTATTGCTCTTTTTAGTGTTACTGTTCATGTCGATGCCGATTTAAAAAAAATAACAAACTGGTTTCAAAGTTCCTTTGAATTCACATTTTAAACAGATGATTATGTTTGGAAAGATCACTTTGGTTATAAGTGCCTGTTTATTTTGTAAACTTGGTTCCGTTGATAGAAATACCACTCATACGTTAAGGAATCACGTTCTAAGGCTGTACGGTTCATCATATTAATGATGTAGTGACTTTCTCTATTGTACTATATAGTCAGTGAAAGGTAGACGTTAGTATGTATATTTAAATACTCGCACGTTCACAGTATGACATGGCATACATAAACAATCATTCTTAGCCCTTGAGACACACACTTCTTATATTCGACAAGAGAAAGGTTTGAAAAATAGAAGTGTTCATAACAGCTTCATTATCATGCATACTAATGTCCCAGGGTGAATCATTGTCCCTTCATCGGGTGAACAAATAGCCATATACCTCAATGTATGTATTATAATATCATGACACAAATAATTAAGAATAACAGACAAATACTCACCCTTGATCAGCTGCAATCCTGAGACACTCCACATGAGAACGAAACTTGAGACTATTTACAACCCTGTGTTTACCAAGGCATGTGTACACTATGCGGGTGGTTGTTTACGCTGTGCTATAATAGTCTAGTCAACCACACTGCGTGACTCAACATCGATTCTGTTGAAGTATAATGACATGTGCGTCTGTACCAGTGCCTCAAACTTCGGTACATGATACCCAGTGAGCCGTGTACATCCTGTTTACAACATCTCTCTTGCATTGCTGATAGTCGGAATCATCCAACTGACTGAGTGAAGCTTTGTTTTGGTTATTGAACGATTTTGTCGCAGTTATTTACGAGCAGGAGTTTTTAAATTGGCATCATTTGTGGTCAGCATTTGAAGTTTGAGTTTATGCTTGGTTTCACCTGAGAGAGTCTAACAGTGACAGAAACATGATAATATATATTTTCTGCAAATTATTTATCAATACTTTTTTTAAACGATACATGTAATATGACGTTTTGCCGGCGTGTTGCTTTGTTGTTACTCAGTAAGATGGCATTATGACGGCAGTGTGTGAATAGTTGACTGAAGGCCCAAACATCCAGTCACATTATAAAACAACAACTTTAGGAGCCTTTCGTTATATGCCTTCTTAGATATCATTGCAAATATATCGTATATACCTTCTTGTGAGAGGAGATGTCTATTAATGTCACCGGTATTCCGATATTCGAAGGTCTAACAGCGGCACCTTAAACCACTGGACCACCTTTCTGTCAGAGACGCATTACATATTGTTCTCGTTTCTTGTGATCTCGACAGAGTTTCTATGTTCGGATGCGATGAAGATTGAGCGTTTTCAGTTAAAACACGGTCAGCAAATTAGATCAACATTATCATGTATTGACGCATAACTATGTTCGACAAAGATTGATCAGGTTAAAGACATGAAGCACAACAAATAAGGCGTAATTAACAATCTACATTTAAAAATAGAACGCAATGTTCTAAACCTATACAACAAATGTATGAAAATGGATAAACTTATTTTCCTTGTAAAAGTCTTGTGTTGATAAATTGATACAATCAGCATTAAGCATTTACCATGATAAGGTACTTACCGAGTCAACTCCGGGACATAGTCCAGAAAGTACGAACTACAACATGATCCTCTCACTAGTTTATAACTGAATGAACACACATGATTGTACTGAATATTTGATGCCAGATCTATTTAGAATAGCCTATAAGCATGTGGCTTGATTAGACATTCATATCTCGGTCAGTACTTTCGCCATTCAGGACGCCGATCAGATACGACATGGATGGTTGATTTCTAGGTCAACAATTCCTCCTCCTGACTGAAGGAGTGTCGGTCAGTTTAGGAAAACAAAGGTGCCAACCTTCTATTGAATGTAGAAACGCCATGGAATTGACTTCCTTGCCATTGTACACGTATTTGGTCAAACCATGGACTATTGGGGTAACTCTACAACAGTTAAAACAGTATAGATACTTCATTGTATTGGGCATAGGTGAATAAACCTACTGACCAAGTGTCAGGGTGTCATTAACGAGTCTTCTCAGCAAGTAACCTCCCTCCTCCCCTAAACAAAATAACAAAATCACAGACATACAAAAACAACAACAAAAAAACAAACAAACACACAAAAAACCCAGACCAAAAATAAAAAAAAGAAATATAGAAGACCACTATCCCTCCAAAACTCATAAATAACAAACCACTAATTAGAAATATATAACATTAAAATAAACTTAAGTCCGCAAACGCTACACATTCTGTGTTTATCAATGACCAACGGGTTCTGTTGTCCCGTCCGAGTCTTCGGCTTTTTGTTGCTCGGTCGTATCTATAAACGATTGGATATGTTGTCCCGTACTTACACATACCCATTGGACCCTGTTGTTCCCTATATATGCATTGGATTCTGTTGACTATATTCAACTGGATTCTGTTGACATGTATCCACTATACGGAGCCAGTGGGTAGTATTGACCTGTAATAGTCCGTCATGAGGGGAGAACTCTCATGTTTAAACAGCACACATACAAACAGCCTGGCCGCGACATAAAGCGAAATTGTTTCTTGAAGACATGGACTAAGAAACTCATTCTACTGTTCTATGCTGTAACAAAACGCGGTTGTATGTCAATCGTAGGCCATAATGAAGAACAAAGGTTTGGGAAAGAACAGTAGTAATGACGTCCCTCATGACAGTGTACTGTGCTTTATAAACATCATGTCAGGCTGAGTACCGGATGTCATCGGGCGAACATACATCTCCCTGCAACATTACACCCCAATCTTCTCACACGTTTTTCAAATGATATTTTCAGTAATGTGTTTATGAACACAATTTCACTGCTCAAAATTTATTTTTGTTCGGCACAACATTACCCCCTTGTTTCCCTTTAATGTACCTCTCCTACATATTTGTCCAATATTATGTCACACCTGAGGCAATGAGGCAAGTCACCGTAACATTATATTTCACATCTCTGTAGAATAGAGCACGTCTTAACGTCCTGGGGGCCGGACTGAGTTACATGTAAATAAAACTCAACACTAACAGTCCCATGGTTAATGATTATAGGATAATGACGATAAACTTTAAGAGTCAAAATAAGTTTTTGTTGTCATTGTAGCAACAGTGCGATCACAATAGGACAACGGAATAAAAATCATTGGACAAGACAAGACAAGTCCAACACGCATCATTCTGGTATAAACCATACTTGCCAATGACTAATGGTGAACCTCTTCCTGTGCATATTTTAATGCTTTGAAAGAGGGCACCATTATCGCCACTGTTGATCAACCTGCAGCTTGTGTTGGATGATGTCTCGGAAGATCTTCAACCATAGCATGACGAGTGTGATTCTTATCTGGATGTTGGTACTGACCTTCCAAGGTGAGAATTAACAACTCCCAGTGTAAAACATTGTAAAACATTGTAGTATATGTATCGTAATCCGATATTGTTTTTGTTGAAAACTTTGTCAAATGGGATTGGGAACGCCTAAATCTTGCGTGTGAATACCTTTCGAGATAAGTATATTTTTACTGCTAACGATCACTATTTTTCTGGTCAATACCGATTTTGAGCAAAATGGCAATCCGAATTGTTTACAATTATCGAAGTGATCAATAGTTATCATAGGAACTTAGTTGCGGGTTCAGTTTGTATTGAATCATATTCGTCATCCAAGTCGTTATATCACTCCAGACACAGCTAATGGAGTTCACACAGGAAGTTCACATTTTTGATTACTTTGGTAACATCTTACAATGGCGTAATATCTCGGAGCGATAAGATGATAGCATTTAACGCCTTGGATGACATGACTTTACAGACATCAAATACTCAAGAACACTCGTAAATTGTTTATCTCCAGACTTGCATAAATCGAGGGTTTTGTTTTTTGTCTCTATGTGTCTGACTAGATCTTAGTTAGGAAAGGTTGAAAAGTGCTGAACCAAACTAGCATGATTTGAACGGTTGGAGTTACTTGCAATTACTTGCAATTCAACATAATCCAACGTAATCCCTTCCGAATTCCACATAGTTCTGCCATCGAAACTGGAGTGCTTGATTCTTTGGTTGGGAGAAAGACTTCCACAGCCAAAATGACTTTATTCAAATTCGCTGGATACTTCGTCTTTTCAGGCATTTGCAAATCTCGTGTAGTTTGTTCCTAGAAAATTCAACCTCACATCTACTCTCTATTGTTACATGTACAGTTTCCTGTATCATAAATACACATATGTACCTCTGTTTTCTTCTTCAAAATTGAAATATTCGCTGCATACGAAACTGTTACGTACTGCTGTAATAGTGACACAATGCTAAATATAACTATGTTGCTGGCATAGTGACACAATGTTACCGTGCTGATGTAATAGTGACACACTGTTAAATATAACTGTGTTGCTGGCATTGTTACACAATGTTACCCTTCTGGTGTAATAGTGACACATTGTTAAGTATAACTGTGTTGCTAGCATAGTGACACAATGTTACCGTGCTGATGTAATGGTGACACATTGTTAAGTATAACTGTGTTGCTGGCATAGTGACACAATGTTACCGTGCTGATGTAATGGTGACACACTGTTAAATATAACTGTGTTGCTGGCATAGTGACACAATGTTACCCTTCTGGTGTAATAGTGACACATTGTTAAGTATAACTGTGTTGCTGGCATAGTGACACAATGTTACGGTGTTGCTGTAATAGTGACACAATGTTACTGTGTTGGTACTGGTATGGATGCCTGCAAGCCCTGTCCTGGTATGCATTATGTTACCTCTATCATGTGGTCATGTTACAGGTGTCTATGCCAGAGAGACGTGTAAACAGTATATCAGGTCTCCATCCTTCGGTTCCTACTACAGAACCTACTACTGCTCCAACTACTGCTGTGGGACCACGTACACAGCTAAATGCTGCGAGTGAGTGACAGAAGATTGTGTTCAATCACTAACCGATTTGTCTTGTGTGCCATAAACAAGGGTCAGCATATGACATAAAGCTTGGTATTCGTATAGACACAAGCCTGATAGGTGATACATATTCTTGACGTTCTCCGCATGCTATTACGGGGCTATTGTAGAAAGGGACACAAACCCCAATCTTTCACAGTTTAAGCCCTAGAAAGGAACTTTGTTTGAGGAGGATGTACGTTCCATAACTATATTCACGTCTCTCAACCCTTTAAAATAGCATATAGAGATCTAATCATCGTATACGTTGTAATATCCCGTGGTTCTGATTGGATAAAGAGTGACACTAGATAAAGGTCTATTTCAACTCACAAAATCACTATTTGTAAAATGAAAAAGAAATTCAATATGAGAGGGAAAACTGACTTTTATAAATATTCCTCTTCATACTTATTGACAATCTCTTCTTTCCGAGTGATTCATATGTTTTTGATGAGGTAATAACATCACAAAAATATTAACTATTTCTTTAGAATGGGGATTCAAAAGGAAATATCCAACTATGAAGGCGTCCTCCGCATATATTTTACTATTTTCATCTTCATCTCCAAAGACCTGGTCAAAGACTTGCTGTCGTTCTAATACCAGGAATACGTCTCCTATAACCTTGAAGTCATTTTGATGTACCTACTTTACATCAAGCGTTGTTATCAGTCCAAAACATTGGTATGAACATTCAAATTCTCTTTCATGTAACCATAATGTAATATTATTTGAAGGAAAACTAAGTTCTATGGATAGTCAACTTCTTTATTGCAATGAGTGCGACGTTTCGGAGTAAGTACTAACACCGTTATCAAGCAAGTGATAACGGTGTTAGTACCTACACCGAAACGTCGCACTCATTGCAATAAAGAAGTTGACTATCCATAGAACTTAGTTTTCCTTTATCTTCACAACTTCTAAAAATGCCTCTCAAAGAACTAATATTATTTGGATCCCGTTGCCGAAAACAGTTTCTCGTCATTCCTTATTTCATCATTTCTGTTATCAAACCTTTGTCCGATTGTAAACAGTTCACTAAAGTTTTCAGATAATCTGTAATTTTGACAATGTCTAACGGCTCTGTTGTACTGTCTGCAGTCGGCAAACCAGCGTTTCGACTGTTTACGTCACTGCCGGATCTGTCGGAGGCGTCGTTGGCTTCTGCATCTTCGTTGGCATCATTGTGGTCGTCATCAAGGCTTGCAACAGACCCAACAACCAAGTTCACTTCCTTCAAACATCCAGACAAGGAGCCATCGTGCACATGTGACTCCTCCACCGAAAACCGAGTCCCTAAGTTCTGTATAGACTCTTATAATTATCATTTGACCTTGCACGATCTGAACAATATGTTACGTTACAATGACGTACATAATGAGTGTTCAAAGTAAATACATCCTTTTCCTTCTTGTAATTGTATTCGTTAAAAGTTATGCATTGTTATACATTCAATCTCCCTTGATATATTTTCAACAAGAGCTGTAAAACATACAATTTTGTGTTATTTTTTATGAGGCATTTTGGAATTATCTATCCTTGTGAATAATGCATGATATTTTGTATGCATGATGTCTCAGACTATACTATGATTGCTTGCTTGATGCGAAGTACATTTCTTCACGAGACATATGCTATACGTGGGAGTACATTTTCATAGTAAAGTACAGATTCTAGTACCTGTGTTGAGTTGAATACCAACCGGGACTCGAACGCTCAATCTTGGAGGAAGACACCTGATCCTCAACACACAGAGTCAGCGAACTAACGCCCTCAGCCACCGCGGCTTCCATAAAAGTGGAAATCTGACAACAGGTAGTCTGAAACACATTCTTTGTGCCCAGGTGGTACACATGATCCAGATGGTACACACGACGCAGATGGTACACATGATCCAGGTGATACCCACGGCCCAGATCGTACACACGATCCAGATGGGACACATGACTCAGATGGCGTACATGATCCAGATGGAACACATGCCACAGATGGTACACATGACCCTGGTGGTACAAATGACCTACATGGTACATACGGCACCAGGTGGTACACATGACCCTGGTGGTACACATAACCTAGATGGTACATACGACACAGGTGCTACACACGACCCAGGTAGTACACATGACCCAGATGGTACACACGACACCAGGTGGTACACATGACCTAGGTGGTACACATGACCTAGATGGTACACCCGACCCAGGTAGTTCACATGACCCAGATGGTACACACGACACCAGGTGGTACACATGACCTAGGTGGTACACATGACCTAGATGGTACACACGACCCAGGTGCTGCACACGACCCAGGTAGTTCACATGACCCAGATGGTACACACGACACCAGGTGGTACACATGGCCTAGATGGTACACATTGCCCAAAATGGTACACAATCTGAAAAAGTCATGACTGAGATGATGCACACGACCCAGATGGTATACATGACCCAGATGGTACACACGACACCAGGTGGTACACATGACCTAGGTGGTACACATGACCCAAATGGTACACATGGCCTAGATGGTACACATTGCCTAGATGGTACACATTGCCCAAAATGGTACACAATCTGAAAAAGTCATGACTGAGATGATGCACACGACCCAGATGGTACACATGACCCAGATGGTACACACGACACCAGGTGGTACACATGACCTAGGTGGTACACATGACCCAAACGGTACACATGGCCTAGATGGTACACATTGCCCAAAATGGTACACAATCTGAAAAATTCATGACTGAGATGATGTACATGATCCAGAGTGTACACATGACCCAGATGGTACAAACGACCCAGATGGTACACATGACACAGAGGGTACACATGACTAAAATGGTATACACGACCCAGAGGGTACACACGACCCAGATGGTACACATGACTAATATGGTACACACGACCCAGATGGTACACATGGCTCAGATGGTACACATGACTGGGATGGTGTACATGGTCCAGATGGTACACATGACTCAGATGGTGTACCTGACCCAGATCGTACATATGGCCCAGATGTAACACATGACTGAAATGGTACACATGACACGCGTGTGTCTTGTGTACTGCGTGTCATGGATACCTGTAATCAACGAAATAAACGAAACGTGAACCTGCCTGTCTTTGGCGGGATATTGTACATGTTCAGGTGTAGCCCGTACCTGTTATATCAGACTGTTAAACTCTTCAACCATAGCATGACGAATATGATGCTAATCTGTTTGTTGGTACTGACCTTCCAAGGTGAAAACTAACCATTCTCAGTGTAAAACATTTTTACTTAAATGTATTCAAACACTCATATAATATCCTCTATATATTTCACATCTAGAATAGAGCACGTCTTAACGTTCTGGAGGCCTGACTAGGTTACGCATCAATAAAACTCAATAGCTCCATGCTTAATGATTATAGGGTAATGACAATAAACTTTTAAGAATCAAAATAAGTCTTTGTAACAACATAGTCCGCTCCCAATAAGACAAGACAAGTCCAAGACGTATTATTCTGGTATAAATCATACTGGCCAATGACTAACGGTGAACCTCTCCCTGTGCATATTTGACAGCTTTAAAAGAGGGCACCAATAACTCCGCTGTTTGATCAACCTGCAGCTTGTGTTGGATTATGTCTCGGAAGATCTTCAGCCACAGCATGCCGAATATGATGCTAATCTGTTTGTTGGTACTGACCTTCCAAGGTGAGAACTAACCATTCTCAGTGTAAAACATTGTAAAACATTGTAGTATATGTATCGTAATCTGATATTGTTTTTGTTGAAAACTTTGTCAAATGGGATTGGGAACGCCTAAATCTTGCGTGTGAATACTTTCCGAGATAAGTATTTTTTTTATTGCTAATGATCACTATTTTTCTGGCCAATACCGATTTTGAGCAAAATGGCAATGAGAAATGTTTACAATTATTCATTACATATGATTCGTCGAAGTGATCAATAGTTATCATAGGAACTTAGTGGAGGACTCAGTGTGTATTGAATCATATTCTTCATTTATCGTAATAGTATTACAAAAACAGCAAGTGGAGTTTACACAGGAAGTTCACATTTCTGATAACTTTGGTAACATCTTACAATGGCGTAATATATCGGAGCAATAAGATGATAGCTTCAACGCCGTGGATGACATGACTTTACAGGTATCAAATATACAAGAACAATCGTAAATTGTGATATATTGTGGCATAGTGATACAGTGTTATCGTGCTAGTGTAATAGTGACACAATGTTAAATACAACTGTGTTTCTGACATAGTGACACAATGTTACCGTGCTGATGTAATAGTGACACAATGTGAAATATAACTGTGTTGATGGCATAGTGATACAGTGTTATCGTGATAGTGTAATAGGGACACAATGTTAAATATAAGTGTTGCTGGTATATTTACACAATGTTAAATATAACTGTGTTACTGGCATAGTGACACAATGGTACCGTGCTGCTGTAATAGTGACACAATGTTGTAACATTACTGTGTTGCTGGCATAGTGACAGAATGTTACCGTGATCTTGTAATAGTGACACAATGTTAAAAATAACTGTGTTGCTGGCATAGTTACACAATGTTACCATGCTACTGTAATAGTGACACAATATTAAATATAACTCCGTTGCTGGCATAGTGACAGAATGTTACGGTGCTGCTGTAATAGTAACACAATGCTAAATATAACTGTTTTGCTAACATAGTAACACACAATGTTAAATACAACTGTGTTGCTGGCATAGTGACGCAATGTTACCGCGCGGCTGTAATAGTGACACAATGGTAAATATAACTGTGTTGCTGGCATAGTGACAGAATGTTAAATATAACTGTGTTGCTGGCGTAGTGATAGAATGTTACGGTGCTGCTGTAATAGTAACACAATGCTAAATAAAACCATGTTGCTGGCATAATGACACAGTGTTACCGTGCTGCTGCAATAGTTACACAATGTTAAATATAACTGTGTTGCTGGCATAGTGACAGAATGTTACCGTGCTGCTGTAATAGTGACAAATTGTTAAATATAAATGTGTTGCTGTCATATTGACACAATGTTACGGTGCTGCTGTAATAGTGACACAATGTTAAATACAACTGTGTTTCTGGCATAGTGACACAATGTTACCGTGCTGCTGTAATAGTGACACAATGTTAAATATAACTGTGTTTCTGGCATAGTGACACAATGTTACCGTGCTGCTGTAATAGTGACACAATGTTAAATATAAATGTGTTGCTGGCATAGTGACACAATGTTACCGTGCTGCTGTAATAGTGACACAATGTTAAATACAACTGTGTTTCTGGCATAGTGACACAATGTTACCGTGCTGCTGTAATAGTGACACAATGTTAAATTCAACTTTGTTTCTGGCATAGTGACGCAATGTTACCGCGCGGCTGTAATAGTGACACTAAATATTAAATATAAATGTGTGTGTGTTTCTGGCATAGTGACACAATGTTAAATCCGTGCTGCAATAAATGTGAAATATAAATGTGTAATGGCATAGTGACACAATGTTACCGTGCTGTGACACAATGTTAAATATAACTGTGTTGCTGGCATAGTGACACAATGTTATCGTGCTGCTGTAATAGTGACACAATGTTAAATATAACTGTGTTGCTGGCATAGTTACGCAATGTTTCCGTGCTGCTGTGATAGTGACACATTGTTAAATATAACTGTGTTGCTTGCATAGTGTGACAATGTTATCATGTTTTTGTTATAGTGACACAATGTTAAATATAACTGTGTTGCTGGCATATGTTACGGTGTCGCTGTAATAGTGACACATTGTTACAGTGCTCAACTGATATGGATGCCTGCAAACCCTGTCCTGGTATGCATTATTTTACCTCTATCATGTGGTCATGTTACAGGCGTCTATGCCAGAGAGACCTGTAGACAGTATATCACTTCCGGCTTCGGTTCCTACTACAGAACCTACTACTGCTCCAACTACTGCTGTGGGACCACGGACACAGCTGAATGCTGCGAGTGAGTGACAGAAGATTGTGTTCAATCACTAACCGATTTGTCTTGTGTGCCATAAACAAGGGTCAACATATGACATAAAGCTTGGTATTCGTATGGAAACAAGTATAATAGGTGATACATATTCTAGACGTTCTCAGCCTGCTAATACGGGGCTATTGTAGAAAGGGGAACAAGCCCCAATCTTTCACAGTTTAAGCAGAAGAGAGAAACTTTAAACAGAAGAAAGAGGATGTACGTTTCATAACTATATTCACATCTCTCAAACTCATTAACACATATAGAAATGTAATGATCGTATACATTGTAAATAGCCCGTGGTTCTGATTGGGATGCTGGATAACGGTCTATTTCAACCCACAAAATCACTGTTTGAATTTGTTTTAAAAATAAAATCATTCAACATCAGTGGGAAAATTGACTTTATAAAATATCCCTCTTCATAGCTATTTACACTCTCTTCTCTG